AATATGAAAGGCAGTACACATTTCTATTGCAATTAAAAATTAATTCCATTTCAAAGTTAAGTACAGTGTAACCCGGGTATAAGAGAGATTTTCTCTGGTCCCAAATTAGAGCCTGTGTTACCTAAACAAAATAGACCAAACCCGGATATAAGATAAACCCGGATATAAGAGACTTCTCCGGTCCTGACAACTCTCTTATATCCGGGTTACACTGTAAAATGTATATCAACTAACAACCAATTTTCAAATGAATAAATTTGTATAGATTTCATATTTTTTAGCTTTATAATGGTAATTTGAACACAAAATACTATTTTTAATTTGGGACTTGATAAATAGTAAAATGTATAAAACTTCTACTAAAAGTTGAAAAAAAAATGACAACTTATTAGAAAGCATTGTCAATCATGAACTTGTGACATTAATTTCCAATATTTTTACTAACACCCCAGTATTTATTCAAAGTACCTTTTATACTGTAATTTATTAAAGTTTTTTTTAATGTAAAACACTGAATTCATCAATTCATTGTAAAATATATTGCTTATAAATTTTCAGTTTTAACCATCTGAAGATATTTAAAAATGATTAATGGAGTTAAATCACTTAACAATCTTCTGTCTTGCATACTGTAAGTACTTACTTAGTTCTACGATTTTTAAAAAATTATAAATACAATTAGAACACATTCTAATCTAAAACAAAATTTATTTTAATGCTACATAAAATAAAAATACATACTTAGTTTGATATTTTCAATTTATATTTTCAGTTTATTGAGAGAAAGAGCATTTATATTTGATTTTACAATGTTTTCAAACTAATCAAAATGCTAGTCATTTTTTATTACATATATTGGGGTTGCATAAAAGAAAAGGCATGAATGAAAGGTGAAGTTAAATTGCTTTAACATAAACGTTCATATGAAAAAATATTTTCAATTAGTTATTAGAATCAACCACATTATTAGCATTTTACATACAAAATTATTTTTACAACTAGAATTTTTAAAACAATTCTGTTGAGGGAAAATTACAGATATGTCTTAAAATAGCTATCAGGTTTTTCTTCTTTTTGTCAAGTTTTTCATCCAATTCTAAATGTTTACAGAAAGTGGATAAAAAGTAATCAGCATTTCAGGTAACTTAAACAGTTAGGTGGTTACTTCAAATTTAGCCATCATCATAAAGGAGGTATTTAGTAATCATTGTCAAGACAATTGATATTTAATTCAAAATAAAAAATTTAGGAATTATGTTAAGCAGTAACAAAATTTTAGCAGGAATAAAAATGCTTTTTGTATTCATCCACTTTTGTGCAAAAAAAAAAAAAAAAAAAATCAATTTCCATGTATAAATTTGAAAATATCAAACATTAAAAACACTCAGATTCAACATAATGAAAATTGTCTTGCAAATCCTGTTTGCATCTACATTATCTGATGAAACAAATTAAAAAAGTAGAGCTGATATTCAAAGTAGAATAAGAAATAAAGCTTCAAGGAATTGGCAAGGATTATGGCTTCTCACATGTTGCACAAAATAAAGGTAGTAACAAATTAGTTTTCTGAAACTGACTTGCTACTTTAAAGCTTTACTAAATTTTTAAGGAATTTTATTTTAAAACTATCCAGTTTGCATTAACTGTTTACAAAATAGAAATGAATACAACACAAGGTCTTCATGTGATAAATAATTAAAAAAAAAAAAAAATAAGCTTGTTAGGAGCAAATACTTTAACTTTAGAAACATCTATGGCTAGTCTGGGAATTGTAAAACTTAAAGAATACAGAAATCAATGAGCTATATATACAATCAAAATATTGAGAGTAGTTTGTATCACCTTTGATACACAAATTAGGTATTTGAGAACAAGGTAATTGCTATTTATAAAAAATATATTCTATTTTGGTTAATATAAAAAAGTATTTGGTCGATTTTGAAGGACATTAAAATGAAAGAAAAAATGAAAAACAACAGTTTTGAAAGACAAACTTAAAATCATACATGAATAAAATTGAATAACAACAAAAATCCCTAACTGAAAAAAAAAACGGAAAAATTTGAAAAGAAGCAATGATAGATGGTTTTGAAAAATTATCGTGCATACAATTTTAAACATGCTTACAAATTATTTTACAGAAAGCTTTTCACTGAAAAGCAATAAGAAACAAATTGATGATTAAGTCTGTCATTACTAATAACATTAAAAATCATAATACAAAATGGAAAAAGCATTTACCAATATACAAGTTCTTTCTTGAACCATTGTTAAAATTTAATACCACAGTTGAATGTAGATGTACCATTAAGAAAGTACACTTTGGAACTTCCTACATATCCATAAAATGTGTAAATATTCTAAAGGAACTTAAATTACCTCCATAATCCAGTTTGCTCAGATATTAATACTGTTATTTACTTAGATACCCTGACATGGATAGTGGTTAGGAAACTCACAACAGTTAGATTTTCACTTGGCCTTGTGCCAGACTAAGTTTAGTAATTATAAACACTACAAGGATACATGATTTCTATTCATATTTTCAATAATGATGAATAAGCAAATATATTAATTGCATAAATGATAGTATATTATTGATTTTTACTAGTTCAAACTCAAATGTTAAATTACCATCTTAAAATAGATGTTAAATAAAAACCTAAACTGAAGTATGATTAAAGCTATCTAGCTATATATATATATATATATATATATATATATATATATATACACACACAAATTTAGAGAACCTTGAGCACAATAACTCAAGTATTTAGAGAAAATGCTATCATATTTATGATCTTAACCACCAGTCATATGAATTGTATATAAATATTATACAAAATAAAATGTCTCTAAAGGTTATTCAATCCCTCTTTGCTTCTAGAAACAAAAAGAATATATGATTATTAATACTTTTAAAGCATTTAATAAAAATACAACTTTTAAATACAGTAGACGGAAATTGTCAGAAGAAAACTGCTTTAAAAAGTTTTTTTTTTAAATTAATTCCCATAACAGCAAAAAATATATCCCATTTTTAGAAATTATAAAATTAATCAACAATTGAAAATTCTATGGTAAATATAATCTAAATCTTTCAAGGGAATTTTTTTTTCTCCTCAGCATAAATTCATGACACATGCTTCAGAAAAAATTATTTGGTTGGGCAAAGTTTAACCCTCATACCTGCAAAAAAAAAAAAAAAAAAAAAGTCAAAAATATGTTTTTTATGATTACTGCTATTATTTATATATATCATATATGTTTGTTGTTTTAAAACTATGTTTAAAATTTTAATCACAACAAAAGTATTACACACTATTTGTTAGATTAATTTTATATATTATCTTGTCAGCCAAGTGATTTCTGATAAAGAAATCTTAAATGAACAATGGACATTAAGCACCTTGTACAAAACAATTGGCAAATTGTGTTCTTTGCAAATTGCCAATCAATTTGAATATCTTGTAAATATAAAATTAATCTTGTAAATAAACAATCTAACAACTAAACAATAGTGTGTGACATTTTTATTGTTATTAAAAATTCTAAACAATAAACATTGCTGAGGGAGTCAAGGGAGTATACAGTAATAGCGATATCAAAGAAATAACTGTCCTTTTGATATACTGATTTTTTTTTTTTTTTTTTCTAAACATGAACATGGGTTAACATTGCCAAATGTTTTTGCTTTGAGTTTAAAAGAAGATTAAAAACAACTTAATAACATTAAAACGTGACAGAATTCATAAGATTAGTTATATTCAGTATTTTTTAGTGTAGAGCATTTAAGTGATTCAGGTGATATCAAATGATCTTTATAAACTGTAACAACTGTAAAATAATTTGAAATCTTGTACTTTGTATTGTTAATGGAAAAGAGAATATGAATGGATGTTGTCTATGGGTATTGATTCTGTAACAATTGCTAAAAGCAAAGAAACAGAACATATGAGAAAATGAGTGGACATGAGGGACAGTTAGTACCAACAGGAAAAGAAAAAGTTTAAAAATCTGGTCATATAAACAAAAGAACAATGTGTGTATGTGCGTGTGAGAGAGAGAGAAGTTATGACTAACATTTTTGGAATTCAGTTATAATATTCTAATATCAACAATAGAATATTTGATTGGAATCAACAGAGACAAAACTATTCCTTATAGTTGCATAAAAAATTATATTTCCAAATAATTCTTAAAATGTGTAAAGGATTTTGAATGAACTTGATTATTTTAAAGCAAGGCTAAAAGGCTTCATGAGAATTCACTTAACCAGTAAAATATTTATTTATACATACAGATATTGAGAAGTCATAGACAGTGACCTTCAAGTATCACAAGTTCATGAATAACACTTCTCAAAAGATTTTAATCTGAAAATTTTGCTTATTGCAAATAAATTACGCCTCTATTGGGGTTTAGTATGCTCGACAAACATTTTATGCTTATTTTAACATGGAAGATACAAAAAACAAAAACACTTTCATTATCTCCCCCTTAAATATGAAAAATCTTATCTCTACTGGCTTTTTTCATAAAAGCAACATGACCAAAGAGAAGAATGAACAACCAAATGTATCGAGAAGGAAACTAAAGAAAATAAGATAAAACAAAACGATAAAAATTTAGTAGAAAAGATGAAAGATTGAGTGCATTTTAGCCAAAGCACAATGAGGTAGTTTTAAAGCATCTTGCTCAGTTTTATTTTATACTTTTGATATTGCAGTAGGATTTGTGTTGGCAGTGGTTCATTTAAAGAGATTTTTGAAGGCCATCAATTTCCACTGCTTTGTTTGAATAAATGTCCACAATGAAGAAAATAATCCACCAAATCTTGCATCAAATAACAAAAAAGATTCTTCCTTTTTTAAGAAACAGATTTGTGTTCTCATTTGTTGGCATGTAAAAGTGTTCTGAGGATTTTTTAGGCAAGAGAGCAGATCAGTTTGGTTTTAATCAACAAGTTCAACAGAACAGCAAATATGAACAGAGATTTAACTGTCAGCTTTGTTGTTTACACTTATATTATCAGGAAGCTTGAATTCACGTCGAACATAAAACAAAATGTATGCTTTACACTGTGTCACAGTTTCTTCATTACAAACAGTTACTGTGCTGTCATTAAAGTGATACCAAACACCTGCAATGAAAAAAAAAAAAAAAACACAACTAGAAAATACTTTAAAATTTAACTTCATTAAAAAAAATAAAAAGAGATATGTGTGAAAAGTGTATATAAATATAAATAAATATATATATATGTATAATTATTTATATATTATATGCGCGGTATATATATATAAAGCGCTAATATCAGAGATAGAGCTAACATATTTGGTTGGATAGATGTGAGTTTGTGACCCTGGGTTTCACGCTTTAGCGATCGTCAGACAAACTGATTAATGTTTTAAAAAATTTGGGTTTATGTAGATTGCGTGTATTGGTGTTATTGTGGAAGTGGTGGGGAAATTTCGTCGTTTTGTCATTCATCGTACTAACGCAAACATCGATGTATGCAGACACATATACATACTTGGTCGTCCGTCGGGACTCATACATATATAAACATATATGGGCAGTTTCGGATATGACACATGTATGTATACGGGTGGTGTTATATCTATACATACGCATTTGTGTGTTGAAATTTAAATTTAAACATTGGAAGTGTCTCGTAAATGTCTCGTTAATGTATACATGTCATATTATGTATTTTTTTTTTTTTTCCACTGAAAATATTTCCTCGCATGTATGTATATGCGTGTGTTGGGGGTTTGTGTAAAATTATGATAGGTAAAAATTATTATTATTTATATTTATTTTTAAATTTTTGAAAAAAAAAAAATGGTTTATTTGTTATATTTAAAGCTGGTTATTTGTTTGTTTTTGGTGACTGTGTATATGTAACAGGTAGAAATTTGTAATCCTTATTGGTTAATTTATATGGTGATGTTTAGTTTAATATTCAATGTGCTGGGTGAGAGGGTAGTTCAATTTAATAACGGGTCTATATGATATGATGTGATAGTAATGTTTCAAGGGATTGGAGACAATGATAGTTATATGGTAGAAATTGTAAATTGGTAGAAATGATTAGTAATAAATGGTGGGAGAATGATAAAACCATGAATGTAGTTATAGTGGTGGTAGCTTTTTAAACTAAAAAGTGGTTGTTGGTGTTTTATTTCATTTTTGTTTTATTTTGTTATATGTATTAATTTATTTTGGTATAAATCCTGATAATAGGTATTCTGTGTAAAATTATGGTAGTTGGAGATTGCTATAATTTTTAATTAAAAAAAAATTATTGTTATTATATTAAAGCTGCCTGGTAATAGGTGTTTATTCTCATGGTTACATATGGGAATATATCTGATCATATTGTTTTAAGGTATTAAATATGCTGGGGAGTAATAAAGATTGTAGTGGATTTATATGTTAATAACGGGTGTGATGTGTAAGTGATGGTGCTGTGCGTTGGTGGTAATGATAATATTGTTAGTTAAAAGGTATTGTAGTAAAAGTGAATACTAATGGTGGTGCAATTATAATAATGATAGATGCAATTATTTTGATGGTATCTTGAAATTAAATTGTGATTGTTGGTGGTTTGTCTGTTTTATCCGTTTGGTATGAATTCGGATAATAGGTACTTGTTCTCATGCCTACATTTGGAGATTATCTCTGATTTTTTGTTTAGTAAGTACTTTTGCGGTATATATATTCAAACTAAACCCCTTCTTTAAAAAATTATTTAGAATAAATCACTCTGTACATATTTTAACTAATCATTCATATTACCACCCTCATACAAACTGAAGCTATTAGCAGTAGTAATAGTAGCTTCAATTAATATAAACATTCTGGCCTGAAGCGTCCTCTATTTTCCATGTAGAATTTGATTTTAAAATAGAAAAATATCAGTAAAATAATTTGTACTAATTCAGTTAATCAAATTGCATGAATTCATTTTTTAAAATCAATCTTAAACACAAATTTAGCCAAAATATACACTTTAAAAATTATTTTTAACTATTAACTAGAAATACAATTCACTTTCAATTTTTAGGTTTGAAATATTTTTCAATCTTACCTTTGTGGATGGCATATGAAGTATAATGGCCAGAGCCAGCACTAAAAAAAATTAAAGAGCAAACATTATCCAAAATAATAAGATGATAATAGAAAATTTACAAATAATTTTAAAACTATTAAAGAAAAACAAAACAAAAAAACTATATATAATTATTAATCACATTAATAAATATTAAACACTGATGTATATTTTTCTATTATACTATTTGCATTTCCAACTGTTATGGCATATATTAATTGATTAACCGGGCAGAAATTCCTATTTTATAGAAAAACAGAATCATCTATATTTTTGGACCCAAGGAAAGATAAGGTAAAAGGAATGACAAAATTAGTATAGATAGTACATAAGATTGTTAATGCCTTTGTTAGAAGTTAGAGTTCAGTTTACATGTGCAAAACACATGCAACTCAAAAGTTAGTTAAAATGCATCTGCTCAACTTAAATTACAAATTTTTTGAATAAAGAGTCTCTAGGAACTACATGACTCCCATTAAAATGATATTAATATTTATAATCAACCACCAACCTCCTCTGCCTAACAAAGCTACCAAGTACCTCAAATGACTAACTTCTGAAAATGCTTGCATTTAACCATAAAAGTAGTTTACAACCTTTTTATATATTAGTCCTAAATTTAATTTTTTATAAGACTTGTCTTTACACTGCAAAACCACACAAAGTTTCTGTAGTATCATCCTATTGTACTGCAGGTATCAATCAACATGAGGAATATATTTGTTTTATTGAAAGTTAAGCAAATTATATTAGTTAATAATGTCTTTGAACAAAGTGACAATAATCTTTCCACTTTCATCTTGCAAAAGATACCACTCCCGTAAAAAGGAGCAGATAGAAGAAGAAATGAGCTGACAATATCACCGAGTAAACTGGAAGGTCATTCACAGAGACATTGCATGCCAATGTCTTGAATATTGTTAGACAACCAAAACAGGGATGGAGCTGGTCAGGTGCTCACTGACCTTTCCATCACACTCAGTCATATGAATGATGATGATGACAAAGTGACTGTTATACAATGAAGTTAGAAAATTCCCTGATGCCAGCAGTTATCTGTATACTATTTGGTACTTTATGATTTTTTTATAATCTTGTAGAAGAATGAATGCTATCTTCGTTGATTTTAATGAAGCACAAAACATAGTAACTTAAAATTATAATATTAATGGTAGCCTCATTTACTATATCTGCACTAGGATGATTCATATCCTAGTGCAGAGCATTCCTAAATGAGTATTAGTTGTTGGGAATTTTTATTTGTTTTTTGAAGAAATTTGTACAAGGTTTATATCTGTTATTACATACCAAGTTTTATTCTTGTTAATAAAAAGTCAATATTTAACTTCAATATCCTTTATGAGGATACTTCATCCATGCATTTGTATCAATTCTTACAGGAACATATCAAAATGCCAAAAATTATTTAAACAAGATTGGTAAATACTACAATTATTCTTTTGAATAGATATGTATTTGGTTCTGTATGAGATGATCAAAAAATAGATTTGTAAAATGATTTCTTTACTTACCCAGAACCATGATGAACAATAACAGCTGCCAAATCGTAAAGATTGCTACCAGAAAAACTACCACGTGTTTCATGCTATAAGAAAGCAAATATAAATTAAGCTATTTACTAACCTTAACATAGTCTGGCACAAGGCCACAAATATGGGCATCCAATAAAAATCAAACTCTAGACTAGCTTGCTAACCTTTGGCAAGATACCTAAGCAAATGAATATATTTCTTATTCTTGTATTACATAAAGTAAAACTATATTTTCTACTAAGTACAAATAACAGCAAAAATATATTAGTAAAAATAGCATAATTTCAAATTTAATCCTCAAAATATGAAATGGTTCTTATAAATCAATCATTTCTATTAATTCTACATGTGTAAGTTTTATAATAAGAAAAAAATCAGTGCTAAAACAGAAAATAAAAATATATATATAAAAAAAAAAAAAAAAAAAAAAAAAAAGCTAATCTCTTTTAGTAAAAATGTATTTCTAGATGTAAAGCACAAATCGAGATTTTCTGATTCTTAATGGATGCCACAATGGTAAAGAAAAATTGTCAAAATGAAAGAAACTTTTTAAACTTAGCAATTTACAATTAACATCATTATAATTTATCAAAGATACAATATTTCATCAAAATGAGTAAAGGGGTTGTTATCTTAGATACACAACACTTTATAAAATGTATAATCCAAAAGGTAAGGTAAGTTCTAAACTGAACACTACAACAGATATTGACAGTCAAATCAAATTAAAAATGTGTGAAAAGTAAAATTTATTTTCATCAGAACTCAAAAAGAAAAACAAAATTTACCTGTTATACTGTTTGAACAAAAAAATTAAATAGTGGAAGAAATATTTATAAATTTGAAAAAAAAAACACAAAACAAAAAACAACTTTATTAAAACTATGCATAAAATATTCTTTTCACAAGTTGTTAGGACATTTGATCTCATTCTTTTTTGTTGTTATGACAGTATCTTGGTTAATCCATTTTTTATTCCACCTCAGATCTATGATTTGTATGGAATGAGGAGTAGAAGGACCTTTTTTAATAGTTTTAGTGTATTCTTGGAGAAACAATCCTATTTTTGCTAAGCAAAGAAATCTATACTGGTCTGAAATTACATTTTCTGCTCAGCTTCATTCAACTTTCTTTTTATCCAGTAATATTCCTAAATCTATTACTTCAACTTTATTCCCTAATAGCTTGGTCTGATATTTTCCATAATTTTTTTTTAACAATACTAGGGAACATTACCTGGGTAATAAAAAAAATCCATATGGCCTGTACATCTAAGGAAAACTAGAGAATGGATTTTTATTTAAATATGATAATAAAAAGAAGGAGATCAATAATCTAGACAATTTGTGCAGTGATAATCTCAAGATTACAGAAGATACCATAAAATATACTTACTAAATTGTTCAAAACATATTTGTACATATCAAGTCCACGAAGAGGGAACTCTACAAAAGTCTCAATTTTTGACCTAAAAACAGAGTTCCATCGGAATCTCTTCAAATGCAAACATAATACCTGAGAAGAATAAAAATAAAAATCATTTTACAACATAAAAAGAAAACCAGTTAGTTTTTTTCATAAAGTGAATATAAAAATATATTTCAAAAAAGTTATTTTTATGTCCAAATATTTAATATTTATATGCATTAAAATCTTGAATCTGGTACATTTTAATGTTCTAAGGAACTATTATTGTTCATTATTGTTAAATCCTTTTCCAGTGATAAATATTAGAGATGTTCATATGAATACTGAAGGTTAGCTAATACAATTCAATATATTAACTTCTATTAGGTTTTAATGATTGCTTTGGGAATTCATTTTAGAAGGATTTTGTTTATTCTATTAATGTATAATGAATGTAATGAAGTTGTGTATCATATGTGATATTTTATAAGTCATCTTACATAACCAAACAATAAGATTTTGGAACTCAAATGCAATTATAAAAATATGAAGAAAGAAAAAATTATTCACATTAGGTAAACGTCTAATCCAAAACTTCTTTGTAGAACGTTGTTTCTTTTTACAGTTGCTGCACATATAAAGTTCTGATTCTTCTAGTTCTTCAATATCTGTAAAACTGCTTAAACAATCTACAACAGAAAAGAAAAATAAATATTAGAAAGATACATTTGTATTATGTATCTTGTATATAAATGCACTCAAGTTTTCTAAGAGTTTTCAATTTTGTTAAAAAGATTATAAAAATTGGCTTTAAATTATTTCAAACAAGAAATATTATTCTAAGAGAGAATACAGAAAAAAAAGTTTAATCAACAAAAAGAAAGCTAAAGTAAATCTGAAAAGAGACAGATCAATAAGTCAAGTACTATGCAGAGTTGTGACAAAACAAATCCTTTTGGAAGTGTTTCATTACATATATGTGGAAAAAACTATATATCTTACACACAAACATACCAAATCACACACAAACACAACCTGTAAAACTAAATGTTTTTCAAAAATGGACAACTATTTGAAGCATGTTTCTACATCAATCATTTTGATTTGTCTTCTAGGAAGGAATGAATAACTTTTTAAAAAAATCTTTATTTAGAAGTACAACAGTAGATCTGGAATAGCTGAAAAGATTGTTATCTATATCATGGTTGAATTGTGTGTAAAAGTGATCACTGAACTAAAGTCAAAGGTAAAAATAAAAGTAGAAAAATCATCTGAATTTGGCTGAAATGTGTTTTGTTAAAGGAGAATTGTAAATAAATAAATTGTGATCTAGATAAGCAATTCTTTCAATATCATTTAGACTAATTGCTCAAAATCTATATATGTGATTAGAAGAAAGTCTAGTGAAGCATAAGTAATGAATAGATGATTGTGAAAATTGGGTTTTATTCTTTTTAATTCAAGCATTGATCATTTTAAATTTGCACTTAAACATGGAACATATATAATGGATGTCATAATCATGATACATGACTATAATTTGTTCCACATCTTATAATGTATTCTTAATTGTCTATTCAAATTCAAGTCATTTGGAAGACATCTGCAAGTTTTTATTAAGCTCTATATCCAAACTCTAATACAACTGGCAAATGTAATGTAAACATTAGAAAAACAAAGGTTTTGTTGATTTACAGTTTATCAAATAAATGATTTGCTTATCAGAAAAATTTGTATGTTTAAAAGAAAAAAAATTGCAAGAATTTTTAATGAATTATGAAAATCAAAAACATAAACACTGGTTTTATTTTTTGAAAGTATTGGAAATTTATAGCAGAGAAAGTATTTGGAGCTTAAAGATTTGAATAATTGTTTATGAAGGAAAAAGATGATCCATTAAATCCATAAAAATGATTTTTATTCCATCTAAATATGATTCCTTGAACTAGTAGTAAAATTACTTTATATTGTTACTTACCAGTTAGTTTACATCTGCCTTCACTTTCTTTAGATTTTAGAGCTTTGGAACAATATTGAATAGGAATATCTAAAGACAAATCTGAAAATTATAGAATGAACGAAGATATAAAAATATTGACTGAAATATTTAAAATATCAAAAATTCAAACTATATAAAACAAAATGTGTTCAATGTTTACAAAGTTTAGTGCTTTCAAAAATTTATAACACAGTAGTCTCCACTTATATATAAGGTTTTCCTATACCTTATATATTACATACACCTGACAAAATTTAATCTGTAAAATAAGCACAATAAGAGATTAACAACAACAATAAATAAAACTATTGTAACACTATGCAATAATAAAAATTATATGTTAAATGATTTATTCTTATTTACATTCAAACTAATGCCCTTGTCTGTTATTATCACAGTGTTTCGGCTGTTGTGGCTTCCAGCCTTGCCAATCCAGGTAACTTTCAGGGAATTTTGAATTGAACCCTTTATTTAATTTACAGAGGTAGATTGTCCTCATTCCACTTCCCATGTCTTGGGATATCTTTTTTTAGTACTGTTAATGCTAACTCTGTTTGCATTGACTGAGGCCTGTACTATTTAGTCTAGAGGCTGAACTCACAATTACTATGCCACCAAATTCATAAACCAATGATTCATACAGAACAATAGCCTAACAGATTAAACTATTGTTTGAATGTTAATAATGACAACACTTCATCAGAAATTCAGACAAATGATGTTTTCTTATAGTAGATCTTAGCAACTTCAACATATGATTTTTTTTCCTTATTAAATGGAATTTTTACTCAAAGAATTCACTTTGTAGTTTTTCTTTAGCATATCCTACTTTATCACTGAGATCATTATGAATTCTTTATTCCTGAGATTGACTGTAGGTAACTGAAACTGCAGAAACCAAAACTTCAGATAAGGGATCACTATACTCACTTTAGCATAAAATTGCTTCAAAATCAAAATATGAATTAAAGTGAAATTAAAAATCAAGCAAGCAATCAACATTTGAGATATTTTTTGATATTACTATTACTTTCCTGTAATTTTATGAGCATATATGTGTTTTGGGACAAATCACAAATAGTCATGCTTAAACATGTATAAAAAGTAAATTATTTCAAAACTAATATGATTTTAATACTAAAACTTTCAAAATTTATCATTGATGAAACTTGAGAGATAAATTTGTTGGGTGATTTCAAAACCCCCAAATGAAATAAGTTAATTTTTATTTATACTTTGTTTATAAAGAACAGATCAAAACTAAATTCCTTCATGTCTGTACACAAAAGTGAATTCTTTTTCTTTACTTTAAAATTATTGAGATCAAGTATTTTGAATAATTTCTTATTGCAACAAATCTTTGTTCAGAACAAGTTTTGAATCACAAAAAAACCTGTCCAAATATAAGAACTACTCACCAAGAAAAGGATCATGTTTCTTAGACTCCATGTTACATATCAAACAATTCACCTCATTCTGAAGTAAACCACCAAAAATAGCAGTTACAATTGTACTCTTTCCCTTAGTGCCTATAAATGGACTAGTATCATTTTGATATGGGAGAAGTGTGAGTAACTCAGTGTGTAAACGATCTAATAAATAACGCATAAATTCATGGGCATCTTGTTGCTGGTAACCTCTGAAAATGAAGAAGAAATATATATTTCATATACCAGACAAATAATTACAGTGATCTTTATAATAGAAATACAACAGTTTTTTATGAATGTGTTAGAGTTTAAGTGAAATATAAGTTTGCTTACCTAAATCTAGGGACAACTTGCCATATAACAGAAAAAAGAGAATCTGGAGATATGGCAGTCTTTGTTCCCTGCCATAATGCAATCAATGTTTTACGCAGTTCTTCAACTAAAAGCCTGTGTTAAATAAAAGTAAAGTCAAATTAAAACAATTTAAAAAGGACACTCAGACTCCCTACCTTTTTTCGTGTAATGATCAGAGAAGGTAAAAATATTTTACATGTTACATTCTGTAAAATGCTTTTTTCTAATTTGCTAATTTCTATAAGTATCAGGTTTTATACCTAATTGTTCAAAAGAAACCACATCTGTTTTGGGGCCAATTATTCTGAAGATATCTAAAAGGGAAACTAAATTTTGCGAACCTAGAATTTTGTAAGAGTTACTGATGTGGATTTTACCAATAAATGAATCTAATTGATGATAGATGGAATGGAAATTAAACTGAGAAATTGATGTGAAAAGTTAAGCTAGGTAATTTGTGCTTTACTAGTATGCCAAAAGTACCCTGAAGCCTGGATTTCTATTGTGCTGTTGGTGAAATTAACTAAATTGAATTAACATCCGAAATTGTCTGGCTTCAAGTGTTTTAACTATTAAAATCTGATGAAACAAAGTGCAACCTCCACTCACCCCCCACTCAGTAAATGGCCCATATCTTGGCCAAAATTTAGAAATTAATTTATTTCTCATACTATCCATTTTTTTTGCCTTGATTGTTCATTGGAGTCAGTAATTCAGCTGACCTCACCAGTGATAGACTGGGGGATGAAATCATCAAAGCCATTTCCTTGATCCTGTTACTATGCCCATATACAAATCAACTTGTAACCTGGCACCTGAAAGAAACATATCCCCCATAAATAGGAAACTGGGTGGTGGTTGGGGGGGGGGTACATCATAGTAAAGATGATGCAATTTTTCTTTAATTAATGTTCACCCTATGTAAAGTCCAAGATCCATACAAGGTAGAGGGTTAGTGAAGGAGGTAGTATGAGGATTAAAAGATAAGAAATGTTTATGAGGATATGTGGGAAAGATAATAGTTAACCCTAGACATGAAGAGGTTAGATTGTAGTAGTCAGGAAAGCATTTTCTTGGAAGTCTGTTCCACAAAGTAGTGACTCGTGGGAAGATACTGTCTGAGTGGACCTTCCTTCTTACTAATGGAATATGAAGGGAATGAGGATGCTCATCCCAGTGTACATGGTATATCTTAGCTGTGAAGATCAGAACTAGTGTAATTAAGGAATGTAGCTCATCAAAACATTTGCCATGGAAATGGTGATAGAGTAGCAAAAGACTTGTGAAGTTTCACCTGTTGGAAAGGAGTTGTAGAGTGGAAAATAATTCACCCAGAAAGTTACATCAGACTTGAACTGGAAATGAAAATGAAGACTGGGTAGCACCAAGCCAGATATGTCAGCAGTAATCCATTTACAGTCTGATCTAGCTCCTGTAAAGGTAGAGCATAGCAGGAGGAGTCAGATACTTACTGGAGCAGTACAAGGAAGCAACCATTTTTCCAAACCTTTAATGATGGGTCATATATATGAATTTTACTTGAAGCCTAGGTTTGGTTTGGTTTACAGCATATCAACATCAATGGGTTATTTAATTCCAACAATTTTTGTTGCTGGTAATGTTTTTCTTTTTTTTCAAAAATGTATTGCTGGTAATATTTTTTCCTTCAAAAATTTATTTCTGGTAATATTTTTTCTTCAAAACTATTGCAGCTAATATTTTTCCAAAAATGTATTGCTGATAATATTTTTTCAAAAAATGTATAGCTAGTAATATTTTCAAAAAATGTATAGCTGATAATATTTTTTCAAAGAAATGTATTTCTGGAAATATTTTTTCCAAAAATGTATTGCTGATATAATAATTTTCCTTTAAAAATATACTGCTGATAATAATTTTTCCTCCAATTTTGTATTTCTGATAATAATTTTTCTTTCAAAACTATATTGCTGGTAATAACGCTTTTCTTGAAAATGTATTTCTGATAATAATTTTCCCTCAAAAATGTATTGTTGGTTTTAATACCTATTTTTACACCTCCACAGTGATTTTGATCTCTGTTTGGGGGTCAACTATTTGCCCATAGCTGGGACCCTAACAGGTGCTGAGAACACCAGCAATTAAGCGGTGCTTCCATGCTCCTCAAAACCTCCTGATCAGAGACCTTGCTGTTGGTGGTTTAATGTCTTCCCCAGGACGCAGATGTAGTTTATCATCATACCCAGGACAAATTCTTCCCACTTAACTATTTACCCATAACTGGGACCCCAACAGGTGCTACCACCCTGGGTCAAGGTGGACCTGGAAACATCAACAATTAAGAGGTGGTTCCATGCTCCTCAAACCTCCTGATCAAAGCCCTAGCTGTTGGATGTTGTTTATTGTCTAACTCAGGACGTGGATGTAGTTTATTGTTTTACCCAGGATGCGGATGTAGTTTATCATCTTACCCAGGATGCACTTGAAGACTAGGATGAACTTAATACCCAATAGGCATTTAAGGCAAGGTAGCAGAGTAGTTGACACAGCAAGATACTGCCCTAGAATAATTTCATCAACTATTGGAAGAGTTGGAGAGCAACTTTCTCTGGGAGTCAAAGAACAAAATTTCTCGTTTGAATTGTTGAACCAGTCACCAGTTTAGGATATTGCTGTTGTTTTTGCAATATGTTGTCAATAAGGCTGACACCTACTAACTCACAAACTGGTATTAGGTAGACCATGGCACCATATAATCAGGAAGGATTAAAGTGATAACTGTAACCTTCAGCAAATAAACTTTGTTATTCTTTCTACAAAGAGTCAGTTGTCTGTTCTGAAATTTGCTTCCATCTTTACTTTTCTTCTAACTTGACCAGTCTTAAGATCAAAATCTTAAACACATGGGTGGTGTACTGAGACATCCAAACAGTGACCCTAGGCCCATAAGGGTGATGAAAGCGAAAGTTTGGTTATACTTTTTCTAATGACCAAGTTCAATGTCGCTTACTTCATATGAAAACCAAACTTTCAAGTGTAAGAATGTAATCTACTTTACATGAATTCATTGATGTACTGAGTGAAAAAAATATTTGACCTTTGTCACCATCATTATATAAGAGTCACAATCAGCTTATTTTAGCTTGTAAAAGAGAACTTAAGATTGTCATAGTTGGATTATTTTAATCGATTTTGCAGTATTATATTTTTGTTGTTCATGATGCAATTCATGGTTTCTACTGGCAAAATAAGCCTATCAAATATTACAAAGACAACTGTAATAATTTGAAGTGTAACTGTTATTGTGTAAAATCATATAATTTGAAACATGAGCAAATTGCAGTCTATTGTTATTTTTATCCTGTTGCTAAGGACCATTCCATATATCAGCCACATATAATATTTCACTGATAGAGCAATTTCATAGTATAAAAAAATCTAAAGTTTCTCATTAATCTTATTCACCATTATCAGAATCATAATTTTAAGTCAGAGTATAATCTTTTTTTTTTGGTGACATCTCACGGGAAAAAGCCCGTGTGATGGATAGGAAGAATAATCAAAATAGAAGCTATTAATGAAGTAGTTGAAAGCAAAATAATCACACTGAATAATTATTTATGTGAATTATATGAGCAAAGTAGTACAATAAAAATATAACAATGCTCTATATCAGCAAAGAAGTTTTTAATAAAAAAATATTTACAAAATCATTATTTAAGTGCAAGTCCCATTGTGTGAACCAGTTTTTATTCCTGATGGAGATACTTTAATAATGAAGAGTTTCCAGTGAGATTATATAAAACACAGGTAGGCTCAAAACAGAAATGTATATCAGTCTACAAGGATACCACATTTCAGATAGATATTTTCCCAGGATATAAATTATAAAGTGGCAAAATTTTAAGGTCATAAATCTTGAACTCAACTGAAGTTTCTATTTTCAGGTTTTTCCTTTTCTATTGTGGCTATTGCACAAATAAATATCAAAATATGAGATTGTGACCATGGGAACTTTTTAAATTTTGGTTGAATTGATATGAAATGACCCAATATTTTAATGGAGGCACAGAATTCATCAATATTACTGAAAAAATTCAGTAATATGTAGGAATAAAAAATTTATGCCAAATTATGATAGGAAAGCAGAATTTAAAAAAAATTCCCATGTGCTGACTAAATTTTACAAATAAATTTTACTTGCTTGGTATTGTTAACAGAGGTATTTATTAATATTTCTATCTATATAGAAATATATTCATAAGCTTTTATAAAAAAAAATGCAAATGTTGATTGGATAAATTTTATTAATGTAGGTAATAAAAACGACTATGAATTATTTGTTATTTAGAAATAAGTGGTGGTATTAATAATAAATTATATTTATCTACTGAGATTGAAGTACACAATACTAATGGGAAATCTTAATAATATTAAACATAGCAACAAATAAAACATTATATTTTTTTAACTTTCATTCTTGAGAAGAACAATAGTTATATTTTTAATATGCAAAAATATTAAAGGATTAATTTATATGGACATTTATAAATAGAAGCAATTACTTACACGTCTTCTCCATTCTTTGTTCTTTTAGCATAATGACATTTTCTCATTTTGTAAACTTGGTCTTCTAAAGATGGTAGACGTTTGATATAGCCACAGAATTCTTCAATATTACTGAAAAAAGCCATTAATGCATAAGAATAAGAAATTTATTATAAAAATAACAATCATGGCATATTATAAATGTTGTAACCAGAAGGAGAAAAAATAGCAACTTGCTTGTAAACGACCATTCTAAATAAAGTAAGAGAACACAAAAAGTTACTACTTTTTAAACAAAACATTTTGAAGAAGCTTATAATATTTTAAATCTCTGAGAACAATAGATGAATTTATGGCATATTGACACATGACTCATCTGTTATCAGGCACTATATCCTATTAATAAATGCATTTTTTCATAAATATAGGAATTGGAATAAGAATGCATTTCTTCTGTCAATAAGACAGTGGGGGTATTGCTGAAAAGGAAAACATTGACAGATGTAAACCTCAAAACTATGACCAGAAGACTTGTTATTCTATTGTTATTGGGTTCATTTTCACTGCAAGACTTCATTCTTTCATTGAGTCAAACTGCTACTGCCTTTCTTAAGTCTGTATTCTCTTTTTATACTGAAAGATACTATGTATATTGAAATGTATGCCTCAGATAAAAGTGTCATTTCCTTCAAAAGAGATTTTTTCTTAAATGTATTTACTAAACCATGCAAAGCCTACTCAGTATCTCTTAAAACTGATGGTATGTCCCAGATTTTCACTTGTTCTTTTAGTCATGCATAGTTTCCAACAGACATTCACTGATCTCATGATCACAAGGGAGCGGTCTCTACCACTTCCCTAGATGAATCATCATCTGAGAAGCCATCAATTGTACTCATGTTAGGCTCTGAATCACCTGCTTATAAGGACTTGACACAGTACTGACACCCTTTACCCAAACTTGATAAGTGTGTATCATGTTGGTAGGTGCAACCAAAGTTGGAACATCATCCTTCAGTGTTACATTGTACTCCATTATGGAATATTGTTTTCTGGTGGCAATTCTTTTGATCTTCCTATGACATCTTTCCACTATGCCCTTCCTTATTAATGTGCACAATGAAATGACCCACTGTCCATAAACATTCTATGCAAAATGCTAGATTGAAAACTGAGCAGGATTGCAATCTATGAGAATCAAGTAATGTTTACCACCATTAGGAGTGATAGCCATTCCTCACCTACTCTCAGTGTCACTCACATCCAGTCTTCTTCTTTGTCGCTGATGCCGAGTATATGGACTGGTGGTGGGCAATCATTAAACACTGCCTTGACAACCATTTTGAAACATTTTACAAACCACAAGGTTCCTTACACCAGGATGTTAACTCTATTGATCAATGGTCATTATTTCACTGGGATCCAGCTTGCACACACAAGTCACTAATACAGACTTATTTTTTTTATCACATCAAATATTCTCTGTGGTACCTTGGTCAAATTGTCAGTTTGGTTTTAGTTAAACTTGAACAGTCACACTTATGAATAAACAGTACTCTCCAAATGTGCTGAGTTATCATCTTATCAGAGTGTCAGAGATCCATGGGTCAGTGATCAGATGTTAATGTTGTCTGGTGTTAAGTTGACACCCTTCAATGTTGTGTCAAGCATCATTTTCTGGGAACAACCATCACACATCCTCAATGATGGACCTGTTGACTCCTATGACCAAAAAACTTGTATCAATCTACACATTGGTGTATAAATGGACATAAATTCAATCATTTTATGCAAGATCATTCTAGCATACCTTAGCGACGGTGCCCATTATCATCCACTTGATTAGACATTAATCACTTCATCATCCCCACTGGATGTAACTTGACATTTACTTGACATTTTATGAATGCCACTGACATGCAGGAATCTGCTGCACACAGGTAAGTGCCCTCTAATTTTTCTATGCAGAGTAAAGATGCTTTAATGAGTGATGACATTGGAGATTCACAGAAGTTTACTTACTTGCTTCCATCAAAGTTTATTGTACTTGTACTAGATTTGCAAACACTTAAGCATCATTCTCCAATTAATCCAGGACCTTGTACATTAGTTCAAATTTTTCTAAATGCACTTATGTGTATTGTGGGCACCAAATTTTCATTGACAAAAATGTTATTCAATATAGGCTGACATCACTCTGGATGAGTTCATTCTGTGACTTCATAGTACTGACAAATGATCTCATTATTAATGGCGCCATATTAAGTTTAAACTGGAGGAGCCAGTACACCTGTCACTCAAGCAACATTGTCTTGAATGGTCACAGGGACTTGTACACCAGGAGCAAAGGGTCCATGTAAGCAATGCATGCCTTACATTTTTTCCAGGATAATTAATTGTGTGCAATATAAAATTAATTACTGATAATTTTCACTATCTTCTTTGTACTTGTATTTTTTATATAATTGTCACAAGCAATATTATTTAGAGAGTGTAAGCAGAGAAAATGCTTGTTGTTTAGTGAGAAAAGACACAAGTAAAAGCAATGATTTTACTAGCTTTTTTAGTAGGGAGGCAGAATATAATAGTGAGTGGGAAATTCTTTTGCTTGCATTAGAAAAGGCCATATGAAAAAGAGAGAATAAAGGAGGTGGGGGGCACAAAGATAAAGTCACCAAAAAGCAGAAATTCTTTTATTTGCTTTCCAGCCAGCAGACACTCTCCAGTGAAGTGATGATATTTTTATTGCATGTGGCTGAAATCAAAGATTGCCTATTCAAAGGACTTATAGTTGGACAGATTTAGACAAAAAAAAATTGTATTATTCGGTTCTAAAGAGTATGTAGGGAATGTCTGATGACTTTAGTGTCACATCAAAAGTTCTTTTTTTTTTTTAACTGACTTTTAAAGTTTTAACCCATGGAGAATATTCTTGAAACCTTCTTAAGACTTGGATTCAGTCATATGACCATTACCCAGAAAGTTTTTGACTAGTTCATATGAGAAAAGGAGCAACCAGTAAAAGTCTATTTTTGTGATTAAAAGTAAGTTTC